ATTTGTTCGATTTATTAATTTGTTCCCTCATTTTAGTTAAATCATGGGTTATTTAAGGAACAAAATTAATGAAACATGGACAGTGGCCACAAATTAATAAGTCGTGGGAATGAATTAACAAGTTGTAGGAATGAATAGCCTATCTGTCCTGTGTCCCACAGCCCTGCAAAGCGCAGAGCCCGATATGAAATAATTATCTGGGGAAATGACTTAGTTACTACATTTCTATTGCTTTCCATGTTGAAGAACTTTGTGTTGTTTCTATTTTAATGTACTTTTAAAGTTTAAATCACATTAAAAGCTTAATTTGTACATTATGAATGAATGTTGATGCATTTATATACCGTCACCGTCATTCACAGCCGCTCGCACGTGTTTTGCACATGAGCCGCACGCAGCCCAAAATTAAACAGCTTAATCGACCATCGATAGCTTTAATCTATTGCATCTCTTATCAACAATTAATCGATCATCGATTAATCGTTGACATCCCTAGTTTCAACAAAAATATTAAGCAGCACAAACGTTTTCAACATAAGCAAATCATCATATTAGAATCATTTCTGAAAGGTCATGTGACACTGAAAACAACAGTTATCACTGCAGAAAATTCAGCTTCGCCATCATAGGAATAAATTACATAAAATACATCCAAAAATAAATCATTTAATTTAAATTGTAATAATATTTCACAATATTAATGGTTTTATTGTATTTATGATCAAATAAATGCAGCCTTGGTAAGCATAAGAGACTTCTTTCAAAAACAATGTTAAAAATCTTTGAACGTTAGTGTAACTGTGATAGAAATTTCTACTATATGTAGTTAAAAATATACTGTGTATTGCTTCAACAGGTATGTGTAACCCTCTAACCATACAGGAACATAGAATGTGACAAATACATTCATTGTAGAGAAAGTGTCTTGTTATAAATCCAGTGGAGTGTAATCTAGGTCTATCATGAATACACATCGAGGAACATTGTGCATAAGTCTTCTGGGAGCAGAGAATGACCGGCGGGCATCATGACTCTCTTGTAGCCGTCACACATACTGCATCACTTGATTTGATCTGTGCCTTCCTAATTTTTTCTAAAACAAAAAACATTTTACCTGAATTTCATCTCTTGGCAGAAGGAGAGGTCGTCCCTGCGTTCCATCATCACCTCCACTAGCTGGCACAGCTTAGTTTTGATCTGAATGGCATGGACAACATTCCCTAAAATACGCACATACCTGAGAGAGAGAGCATAAAGAAAAATCCTTTAATGGAAAAATAAACTTCTTAATGCTCTTTATATTAAAATGCCTAACCTCTTTTTTTTTTTTTTTAAAGAGCATAGGAAAGTGTAAATCAAAGTCTCACCTAACCAGGTTGAGCATCATGGTTTCAATGCTGGCTTGACCGAGGTGCTCTGAGCTTCCTTCAGTGTGACTGTCAAGCAGGTTCTTCATGATGGCGATGGTCTGCTCTACAAACAGCGTGTTTGTGTCTGTAATGGGCACCTATAGAAGAAATTGAGAAAGAACAAAGATGCTGGCACAGAATGTGGCTGATGCCTATGCAGAATGTGATGTGATACTGATAATATGATATGAGATGAAAATACTACCGCATTTACAAAAGATTCCAGTGTTTAATGCATGTTAGATCATTCTAGATTAAATAGATCACTAAATGCTGATGAGACAGTATTTAAAAGGAGTGCACTGTCTGGATTGATCTGACAATGTTGGTATTCTGCCACCTTGTGTCCAAAACTATACATGACAGCTATTTAGTGAAGAATGCTTGATAAATTTGAGTAATTTGTTCTATTTGTTGCCAGTATGTTGTATAGAAAATTAAGTATAAATTTAGGAGCATTTTTGCATGGTGGCTTTATCACGAAAATTAGATACTGTTGAACTGAATTTACAATCATTTACAAATATTTACTAAATATGATCAAATATTTAAATATGCCATAAATAAATATTTAAACATACAAATATAAATACACACTCATATACAAAAAATATACAACATAAAAAATATAAAACCTTTATCTGCAAAAAGCATTAATGCTCTGAAATAAATGTTATTATATAATGATTTTACAATCATTTATTTTCATTATGAAATTCCTATTTTATATATAATAAAACATTTGCTTTTTATTTGAGTGCAGTATTAACTAGAGCCCAACCGATTTTTTGGGGGCCGGTACCGATACCGACGGACGGACGACGATAATTTTGGACACTTTCCCATTCATGTGTCCAAACTTTTGACTGGTACTATATATAGAATACAGGATATACATAAACAGAATATATATACATAAACACATTTTTTGCAATGATCACTCAAATGTGGTGATCAAATACTTATAATGACGTGACAAAGATATGTAATGGAGGCAGGGCAATTAACAATTTAACAATAAACTTTATTATCCAAAATGAGTCTGACATCAGTGCACTGAACAAGTAAAGTTAAAGTCTATTCAACTTTATTTCAATTCAGTTTCATTCAACTTTATTCCGTTGAAGTTTATTTCACTTCAGAACATTCATTCACGGATTTGCGCTACTGTCTTCACACACAGACGAAACTTACTAGAGAAGTGTTAAGTGTGACATAATATACCTCTGTAAATAAATACAATATAAATTCACGACTCGCACACTTTAATGCCCTTTGAATGTAACGTGTACGTTCCCTTGGAACTGGAATAATGGCGGAATATCATGTGAAGTCCACTTCGCAGGCACTTATAGTCGAATAAGACAACGCTTGAATGCTGCTGTCTGACCTCCTTACTGAAGTGAAAGTGTTAGCTGTTGTCACTATCTAGCGAACACGGCGGCGGATCTCCACCAAATTCGGGGGCTCCCTTCAGCTCAAGGAGCCCTCTCGAACGCCACCCTCCGCACGTCGGTAGCCCCCCGGGATAGCCAGATCGGTCGGTGCCTGACCCGCAAATTTAACCGCCCGTAACTCCCGGACCCCGGGGACTATCGACACGGGGATGGTCTCATTCAAAAGGGGGCCTCGAGACGTACACTTGATTTGGCGTTCGAGAGGGTTCCTTGAGCTGAAGGGACCCCCCGAATTTGGTGCGGATCCGCCGCGCCGTTACGGAGATATGGCCGTTCAAAGTTTCAATGGTATTCCATTCACTTAAGCTTTATAGCGTTTCATCCAGGTTGCCAGTAGCAAACAATGGAGAAATTACTGGACAAACTACGTAATTACACCATTTACAAGCATTTTATCTGCATTTTATGTTCTGTAAAAAAAAATGTAATATCGGTGGCATATCTGCGGCATATCCGCCGATACCGATATATCTGCAACAGGCTCCTATCGGCCGATAAAATCGTCAACACGATATATCGGTCGGGCTCTAGTATTAACCAGTTCTTTGTGAGAATGATCTTTATGTTCTGAATGTGTTAACTTACACCTCCACATACATGAAATAAAAATATAAAGTGCAATACTTCGAAAACAATATCTAATCCTACAGTTGCATGCCATGATTATCATCTCTTACCGGACCCTGGGTCTCAAAAAACCGGCCGATGCTGTTGCGTAGCTTGGTGAAGAGCATAGGGTAGAGAGCTGGACTTAGCTCCAGTCCCACAAGGTCTTTGACGTTGGTTCGAATCTGCACGCCCACCTTTTCATGTGTACAGACCATGAGACCAAGCAGACGGTCCAGAAACCTGTTAAGAGACGTCTCGCTGTTCACCTCACAAGAGCCCATAGAGATCATGGAGCCCTTGCGTTCGGTTAGGGGTCCCATAGGAGGACTGTAGGTGCCTAGGCTAGAGGTGCTGCGCTGATGGAGACAAACCCCTCCCAGGGCACACAAGAAACCGGTCATGTTGATCCACTCCTGAGGACAGAGGAAAAAATAGTTTGTAGAGGAGGAAAAAAAAGTTATATACACCTTACTGATTATCATTCTTTTAACTACCTGTCCATCTTCCACTTTGTTTTTCGGGTGGTTGAGTATCTGTTTAGTAGCTTGCTCCCATTTTGCATATGTGTCTTCCCATGCCTAAGATTGAAAAAGGTCAAATTTGAGTCAACTAAAATGAATAGAGAAGCTGCAAAAAGTTGCAATGGATCTGAATGATTAGCAATTAATACCTGGAAAAAAAAATGTACATCTTAAATTCACATAAGTTGACAAAAATAAATCCTTACCTCTACATTTCCAGCTGTAGGGCGTTTTATCCTCCTTAACAGCGCCATCACTCTCTTCTGAAGTGTGTTGCGGCCTGAATGCACATATAGTTTGCAGGCTGTTTTATTTTACAATGAGACCAAACATTTTTTTCCAAGAATCCATGCCACTAAATCATAATGTTAATCAGAATTTATGATTATCAGTATCAAACGTCATATATTGATGGGCAAAAATTAATTAATTAACTAAATATATGTATTATTATTATAATATCAAATGCTATTTTCTTTATATATCCATAAATAAATAAATACACATAAGTATTCATGACCACAAATAAAAAAATAATACATTCATTCATTCATTTAGCCACATTGGTATTAACTGTTTTACAAAAATATTACCACATTAGTAATTATGGTCTTAAATGAATAAATGCATTTATCAAATTGTACATTTACACAAGTAAATATATATATATATATATATATATATATATCACTTCAGTGCTAGCTGAAGTGCACAAAAAAAATACAGTGTCCCTAAAGCTTAAAGCTGCCAGTCTAATCCTATGTCACGGAGACTGTTGTACTACTAACCTGTAGCCATCATATTGCTGACAGAGGCGAGCTCAATAAAAGTGTTGTAATTGGGCAGGACCGTATGCACGGGCAGCTCGTCCACATTGCAGCGGATGTCCGCCTCCTCACAGAGATGCCGGAAACAGGACATGGCCACCAACACAGCCTCTGCGTCAGGGCTCCACAGGAAGGTGTAGAGACACACTTCCAGCTTGGTCTGAGCCTGTCTGCTGATGAGGATGAGACTGCCCTGTGTGGCACATTCCTGCAGAACAATGAGACATGAATGAGTGCATTTTCTCTGAGTGGATTCAATTTCAAGTTCATGTTTAGACAGAATATGGGTTTACCTTGTTCTTTAAGAGAAATTTGTTTCTACATATGAGAATCTCCCGGAGCCACTTCAGTATCTCTGTACTGTTGATCATCTGATGTCCAATCAGCTTCTTGCAGTTCAGAAATAAGACCTGGGAGCTGAGAGGGGAGTAAGGAGAATATAGTCAGATAATCTTTCCAATCGCCAACTTCACATCAACCAATCTCTTTATACCCACCTGATGTCCCAGAAGGTCTCAATGGGTGCGTCAGGGTTCCACAGCTCAATAGTTTCTGGCTGATGTAACACCAACAGTGCCTGGGTGAGAATACAAGAATGAGTAAATGAGATGCACAACTACAAGAATTAAAAGTAGTAGTATTATAGTATCATCCATATACTGTTAAGTACGCATTTTAATTTTTTTTATGTGCTTTCGTCATTTTTATAAGGATATGTTTTAATATTCCTATTAAGCTTTAATAAATATTTTTTTATTTTAGTTGTAGTAATTGTAGCATACTTAATACTTAAATTTTATTTTTTATAGCTTTATTTGAGTTAACAAAAACAACTTTTAAAGTTTTAGTTTTTGGTTAACAATACCAAATAGGAGGTTCAAAGAAACAAACAGTCTTACCTCCATGGCTTCCTGTGAAAGCTCTGCACTGTGGTTGAGAGGAACCAGCTGGACCAGACCTTTGATGAGCTCAGCTGTGCTGTTCTGGATCTCTTGACCTGGTTTCCCTGGGTTCTGATGGTGAGAAAGTGCAACTAGTGGAGTCAAATCCTTAAACTACAAGTCTACTGCGAAGCTTAGATATTTAAACCATTTTAGGCCAAATCACAGTTCATGTTAAGGAAAGACTGCGAAAAAGAACCAGTCTTCTTCAGGCAAAAAAAGGGGAAAAGAAATGAATAAATCCATATGTACATCCTAATCTGGATAATCCAGGATTTGAACCAATCAGAAAACACAAACACTGTTAGATTAGAGCATTTTATGAGAATTAAAGGAGCAAGAGGTCAAAGGTGACACTGAAAAAAAAGAAAACTTTTTCCAGTCTTTTTCTTAGCCTAATATGCAGAGACAACTCTAAGATAACTTTAATACAAAAGGTAACTTTTGTACAGAAACTTTTAACAGAAGCTAAACGACTATTTCATACCCATTTCCATCAAATACTCACATGCAGCATTAGTTTGGGGTCAGCATGGATGAGTTTGACCAGGGCCAGCAGCAGAGAACGCGAGTCAAGGTCAGTGGACTTCTCCTTGAACTTTAAACTAGTCGTCATTTTCTCTTTGAATGTCAGACTCTGCCAAAAAAAAAAAAAAAAAAAAACTTTAACAAAGACCAATGCTTTTCTATACACCATAAACTGTGTAAATGATGATGTGTCTCACTGATGTCATCCTCAGAGGTGGATGGGCACCGAGACTCTGAACCACTCGGCCCAATGTGTCTGCAAACATGGTGCGCAGTTCTCCTGAGTAGCAGTAGATGGCGTCAATCTTCGGCCACCAGTCCAGGTGTGACTAGCAAGAACATAAATGCGAAACATTAATAAGCAATAAACTACAAAATTACTGCACTCCTATAGCATCATAAAAGAGAGAGTCACTGTCAACGGTCACAAAATGCATTTTATCATGAACAATCATCAATACTCATGCAGAATGCTGACACATTTGGAGATCATCTATTTGTATAATGGGTTTATCATTTATTTAAAGTTGCATTTAATTTGCATAATATTAAAATTTTAAATAAAAAATTATAATTATTTGCATAATATTTAAAAATTATTTTTGCATTGTGTGAATGTCCATACAGAGATCATACTTACATTGGTGATAATTTTGTGCAGGGAGTTGACCAGGACGAAATAGAAAGTAGGAGGAGAAGTCGAGGCCAGGAATACCTAGAAAAGAAATAAATTTATTAAACAACAACAAAAACTTTCTGTGTAGATATTAGAACATGTTGGTTATGGCAATGATCTTAAGTTTGTCCTGAAATGAATGTTGACTAGCTCAATACGCTGTGATAGTAATAATATTAAATCTCTTGTTAGTGATTGTTTATTAATTGCTATAACGTCCTTTGCAAAATGCTGGAAACTCTAAGATTCAACAACCGAGCTTACCTTAAAATGCTGGTTGTTACGAGGATTGATGCGATAACATGACACAAAGCAGTCAATCATCAAATCCACATCGGCGCTCTGGCAGCCCGCACCCCTCGAGAATGGCTTAGTAGGGTTAAACAGAAGACCCTGAGAGAGAAGAGAGAGCAAATTTGCACACAGCTAGAAACAGAAAAAAATGTTCTTCATTCCCTTCAGACATGCACTGCTCTGTAATCGTTTACTCAAAAAATGGTCCTCTTCACCTTAAGGTCCATGACGATGGACTGAACTAGGAGAAAGATGACGGAATTGTCCTCCCAGTTGATGTAGGTGCAGGCTTTGCAGAGTTTGACACATGCGACGGCCGCACTCTCAGTCAACTGTCTGCTGCCGCTGTGCTGTCCCAGAGCCTTCCGTAGACTGTCCACAAATGACTTCTGTTGAAGACAACAGAACAGCTAGGTTTGTCTCCAAAAACATTTGTATGCAGAAAATAAGTCTTGGTTCCAAAGCTCAACTTCAACATAAAAGACTTTGGAAATGACAGGAGATAAATAAAATGCAGTAATAGAAGTCTAATTCACTGTGTGACCTCTGACCTTGTTAGCTTTTTCCTCCCCCCCTACTTCTTTGGTAATGCTCTGAGTGATCTCTGGACAAAGGATGAGGAGGATGATCTGTAGTGGCCACACAGCAGCCTTTCTCTTTGCACTCTCTGCAAAACTGTCCACCAGGTCGAACAGTTTTTCTGCACAGTCTGTATACACAGAAACACACAGTTTAATCGTTACACATCTAAAATTGGACTCCAATAAGCAGTCTAGTAAACAAGTCAGCTTAGATATGAATCATTGTCTCACTCACCGGCCATGTCAGCATGGGGTCTCTGATAGAGCATAGTGAACTCATCAGGGTAGTGTTCAACCCAGTTCCAAAAAGCCTGACACAAACATATCAAATAAATTTACTCCTATAACCTTTAATAAGATGAGAATTATTAAAGCTAGAAAAAGTCTCCTAATCTATTGTATTATTTAAAAAGCACATACCTTTTCCAAACTGCTGATTACTGCAAGCTGAGCCGGCTTTTTCAAAGATTTGAATTTAAGTACCGTTTCTAAAGGGAACATGCAGGAAGTTATTAAGCAATTCCACGCCATATATTTAATAAATTAATTTATTATAAATTATAGAAACACTATATATTTATTTGCATTCAGTTGTGCTTTAATACTTATTATGCCATATTTTGATTCTGATTTTAATTATGCAGCTTTAGACTACCCATAAAATTCATCCTCAAACTTTTTGAAAACTGAGGCAATAAAATATCTATAAAATAGAGCATGCTTTACCTTGTAGGAGTCTCTTTAACTTGGAGCAGTCTACGTTGATATACTGGATGAGCTCAATGTCATGGACATCCACTGTGTCCTCTGTACAAACTGTGAGCTCTTGCAACCTATGAGGAGACATTACATTAAAAGTTAATAATTTGTAAAGCCTTTAACTGTTCAATTTGTAGACAAGAAAAACAGCCCAGCATTTATATAAATTACACTCGTACAGTAGGCTTACAGTGTTTAAAATAAAGCAATTTTTATTAGTTACTATGGGGTATTTAGGGGGCTGATTCACACAATGAAAGAGGTCCTAGAACAAAGCCCTGTGGAACCCCCAGTATGTTAGAGAGGTACCTGGTGGAGATACGACTGAAGACGGCATTGAAGTTGGTGCAGCTGAGAGAGAAGAGCACGGCAGAGGCAGAACTGCGCAGCTGAGAGGCGTGCTGCTGGCCCTCACGGTACGAGTGCAGGAAATGACAAATTTCAGGCAGCAACTGTTTTACCAACATGGCCTCATCCAGCCTCAGGCAGTCCTTGGGTTGCTGATGATATACACGAATACACAATATACTTTGTTATTACTATTCTCTAGGGGTGTCCCCGACTAAGGATTTTCATAGTCGAATCAGAATTTTCAAATCTTGCCTATAGTCGACTGATAGTCGAATCATATTTTTGGGGGCGGGCGGCAAAATACATTACCAAGAGTCAGGTCAGACATTCGACAGTCATAATTACTGACGTTAACACAGGGAAAATGTGTAACGGACGCCTCGCAGACACAAAAATAATGTTTTATGTTTTGATTAAAAGATAGGTTAGTTAACATTAAACGTCAGCGAAACCCTAAGAATTCACAAAAAAACAAATTTCAACGGTGCTCTCATTATAACGTTATGTATATGACAGTAGTTATTAATGTTCTGCTTTTCTGTTTTGAGCTGCGCGCACTGAAGATGACCAGTAGAAATAAGCATTTGATAGCAGGTTTTTAAATCAATGGAATTTAACTCGTCATCTATCTCATATAGAATACGCTTCGTTATTTGTACAACATAATATTCATATTTCGACTTATAGGCTATCTGCACAAAATGATTTTTGAATGACTCGAATGATTCGACTGTGAGATTGGTAGTCGAATCAGGCTTCTCCTATCGAAGCATCGAATCTTCGACTATTCGGGGTAACCCCTACTATTCTCTCTCTTTTTTCTTTTTATACTGTGTGCTGTACAAAACTATACTTGTAAAGTTTAATAACATCTACTGTGTTGTAAGCTAAAAACCAGACTAAAACTACAGCGAGTAGAAAGTGCTTCAGGATCAGCAGCATGCAGGAAAGGGGGAAAAGAACAAAAATGAAATCCAATGACAGAGCAGCAAACAAACACATTAGTGGATCAATGTACTGCACACATACTGGGTCAAGCTAAAAGCCCGAAATGTGTAACAAATGGTAGAGGGGAAGTTTTATACTACAGAGCAAAAATTCCTGACTGCCAAAACTAGTTAATGAATAAAGTGTTTAGTTGTCTTGAATGTCTTTGAATTTCAGTGAACAAATTAAATCCTGAACAGCATGGAAGAAAACTGTACGTTATACCCTTACATCAAAGGAAATGACATAAAAAGAATTTTGCAAAAACAAAACAGGACAGTGAACAGCTGTGTAGCATCTGAGCAAGGGAAAATTAATAATCTATACAGGAAAATCCAGACAATCTCAAGACGAGGAAACACCTGCAAATGTAATAATCTCCTGACAGGGCCAGTTCAGAGCCCTCTGTCTGGGAGTAAACGCTAAAGATTTAATTGTTTTACCAGGGCTCTGTGTCTAAGACTTCACGAGTCCATGAGCAATCAAAAAACATTTCTGGACAGTTTCTGCTTTTTGAGACCAGAAAATTATCTCTGTCCCTATAATGTCCCTATAAAGTCATTCAAACTCATGTTACAGTCATTTCACACTACCATTCAAAAGTTTGGGGTTGACAAGATTTTTTTTTATGTTTTTCAAAGAAAACTTTAATATTGTTAAATATTATTATTATTTTAAACAACTGTTTTCCTTTTTTTAATATATATATTACAATTAGTGCTGGGCAATGATTAAAATATTTGATCGCGATTAATCGCATGATTTTCTGCGATTAATTGCATTATGCACAAAATTCAATAATGAATTCAAAAGTAGTGTGTTGTGCACTTTTTCCATTTAAAAGTACTGCTTTATGAACAGAAGTGCAATAACATTTAGATTGCAAACACTTTAAACAAATAAGGTGCTTTTTTTACAGCAGTATTCCTTTTACATAATAGCAGTTAAAATATTTATTGTAAATCTCAATTTATAAGATTAATGTACTCAAATTAAATATAAAACCAAAGCTATTTGCCACTGCCAGGGCATTAACATTTTTATAAAAAATATTTTATAATTTGTTATAGAAAAACAAGTTATGCTCAGAGTCCAGAGCCTCGATCATAACATTATAACAGGCACCTTCCAAGTAGAGACCTGCACTATCGTGGGACCCAACGCAACAGAGTGCGGCACGGGACAACACTTGATGGCCGAGTAGAGACTCTTGTGTGCGGGATGCGGGAGAATAAGGGTGTACTCACACTAGGCAATCTTAACCATGCCAGAGCACGTCTGACCCCCAAAGCCCGGTTCGTTTGACTAGTGTGTTGGCTCCGTGCCGCGTTCGTTTAGCAGTCCCTGGCTCGGTTGGAGGTGGGCCAAAGCGCGGTTCAGTTGGGCTCAGGCACGGCACGCATGTAGTGTCGGAGCGCTGAACTTCTGGTATGTGCAGCATGATTGTGTGAACATTTCAGAGCAGCAAAAGTGATAGATCTGTAAAGCAATATATTGTGAGAGGGCCGTGTGTGTTACCGCGTCCCAAACGACTCAAAATAATAAACCACAAAGTTAACAAAACTATGCACTCCACTTCCCATTTCCCACTTATGAAGTCATGGGCGCTTCATGTGAGCACTGCTGCAGTCATAATCGCATTTAGGCCCACCCCAAATGCTCTCATTGGTTGAGACGTGTGATGACATCCATCCCAAGCCAGTACTGATCAACATCCCACCCCTCCTGTGACCCATGGTTTGTCTGTATGTGTATTCAGAGCCAGTGAGCAACGGACTTTCATAATAATAAAAAACTGCGTTAACGCGCCATAAAATAATTGTCGGCATTAATCAATTAATGCGATAACGCGTAATTTCTAGCAATAGCCAACAATATATTGTCTGGGTCAAAATTATCGATTTTTCTTTTATGCCAAAAATCATTAGGATATTAAGTAAAGATCATGTTTTTTATTTACTACCGTAAATATATCAAAACTTAATTTTTGATTAGTAATATGCATTGCTAAGAACTTCATTTGGACAACTTTAAAGGCAAATTTCTCAATATTTTGATTTTTTTGCACCCTCAGATTCCAGATTTTCTAATAGTTGTATCTCGGCCAAATATTGTTCTATCCTAACAAACCATACATCAATTGAAAGCTTATTTACTCAGATTTCAGATGATGTATAAATCTCAATTTTAAAAAAATGTTACCCTTTTGACTGTTTTTTTGGTCCAGGGTCACATATCTTATTTTTGTGATAGCAAAATTTAATTTTCAGCATCATTACTCCAGTCTTCAGTGTCACATGATCCTTCAGAAATGATTTTAATGTGCTGATTTTCTGCTTAAGAAACATTAGAAACTGTCTAGAAACTGTAGAAAATGTTTTTCTTTTTTTAGGATGCTTTAATGAATAAAAAGTTCAATAGAACAACATTTACGTGAGATAGAAATCTTTTATCTAACATTATAAATGCTGTTAATGTGACTTTTAAATTTCTACTGATCCCAAACCTGTGAATGGTAGTGTACAGCTAGTTTCTATTATACCATGGCATGGTTAAAAACTTTATTCTGTTTGTTTGATAGTTGAGATTCCAAGATGTTGATTCATTTTCTATAACCATGCTGCTATGAAGCAGTTCCAGTTTCACCACATTAAATTTATTTCTACAGCCTAGCATAGTAAACGAAACAGACTAATATTGGTCAGGATCACATTAGAAAAAAATGTATTAAAAAAAAGTCCAAACCTTTTAGATTTTCTTCTAAAAATTACTTTCAATATCTATAAAAATCTATAATAAAATATATGTAATCTTTTAGATCAGGGTGTGGATAGGCAATAATGAAACAATTGTGATTGTAAAGCAATTTTGCATTGCGTTCAGCAACAAAGGTGAAACCACAGCAAGGAACAAAGCTGTTAAAAGGCAGGACGTAAGACAGTCAAAACAAGCAACAGGTCGGACAAAGTTCACTCTGAGATAGGATGAGCTGCTCACCCCTGCCAGACACTTCTCCAGTGTGTCCAGGATAATCAGCTGGGAGAGGTAGAGGTTCTTCTCGGCAGCTTCGCCGAAGATCCGCTATGAACAAAAGACATACAGAAATGTGACAATAGCAAGACTAGAAGACACTTCTCTCAATTGATTGCAATAGAGCATGATATGATCATGTTCCTAAGCTAACAGTGTAACACTAAGCATAAAAACACAACACAAACAAACATTTAGTAAAATGGTTCATGTTTCTCAGTCTTTACTTATTTTCAGAATTGAATTAAATAAACATTTATCTGCCATCTTGGATTTATCTGTGCAATGCCAAGGCAGTTCACTCATATAACAGAGTAACTGGAATTTCAAAATTCAATTATCAAGATGGGGAAACTTGAATGTTATAGACATGGACTTACCATGTTGTTCACATTTTTGAGTATGTTGGTCAGACCGTTGATGACGAGGGCAAATTTGTACTTGGAGATGTTGATCAAACATTCTTTATTGTGCTCTGTACTCACTTTGGTGTGGGTGCTCTGCTGTCCCGTTTTAGTTGGGAGCTGTGAGTCAGAGACAGACAGAGAAAGAGAGGGATAGAGAGAAAAAGAGAGCAATTGAAACCACCATACTCTGTAAAGGATGCAATGAAATCTTTCTAAAGAGCAGGCCAATAAAAATTATGATTTTACACACTCATTACCGTGATGTTTGGGGACAATTTTTGTAATGTTTTTATCAGATGTCAAAATAATAATAAAGTAATATTGTGTAACCGTTTTCGCTTTTAATGTATTTTACATTTTAATTAATTTATTTACTACATGAGTCGTCAGTGTCCCATGATCCTTCAGAAATCATTCGAATATGCTGATTTGCTGCTCAAGAAACATTCCTTCATATATAACTTTGAAAACAGTTGCGCTATTTAGTACTTTTGTGAAAACTATAATACATTTTTTTGTTCCTGGATACTTTGAATAGAGAGTTTAAAAGAACAGCATTTATTTGAAATACAAATCTTTTGTGACATTATACATGTCTTTACTGTCACTACTTTTGATCAATGCTTAATGTGTCTTTGCTGAATAAAGGCATTCATTTCATTAAATTGTATCTTACCGACCCCAAACTTTTGGATGGAAGTGTTTTTTTTTTTTTACTTGACCAACTTGTTTTCAAATATACTTACAATTAATTTCAAGTAAATAATAATCAAATAAAAGTAAAAATTATAGTGTAAGCAAACTATAGTCATTAAAAAAGTAACCCAAAGCACAAAAATAACCATTATATTTAGTCGTATCAAAGGAAGTTAAGATAGAGAACTCTTGGGTCTGGTTAACAGGTGTGAACGCTGGGTTCCTGCGGCCTAGCTTTCAAAGTCTGTGTTATGGCTTTATTGAGAGCATTGGGTGGAGAACAGCTTGTAACATGTGGGACGCACAGACTGCGAAGCGAGAGGTCGAGCGGTCTTAAATTTGACACACCCACCCCTGAGAGAACATCCAAGCACTTAATGCACCAACTCACCCATCCTGGGTCTAAACGCTCAAACTTTAGGTGTTAAAACAAAGCGCCTCCAGCTCTCCAGACTTCCTCCCTTTGCTGCACACCTGCGGGCCAGCACATCTGCTCTTGTTCTCTCCAACACACACAAGCAGTTAAAGTCTGTGCAGTGGGAGTGTTGAAAGCACACATGGCCTGGCCGACTTAATGAAGCGTATGTGGAGTGAGGGGGTGGAGGCCTCTCCCCCACTAAGCATTCCCTGATGAGGAATTGGTCTTCACTGTTTCCGAGTACTGTGGCTCCTCTTTGGATCAAAAGAACTTTGACTTCAAGAAGTTATAAAGCTTGCGAACAACTAATGAATGCCATCAAACTGCTCTAATATATTGAGCTGTAGTGCTTATTTGCCAAAATAAGTTTAAGTCAGACTTGTAACATATCCCAATCCTGTCCTCCCCAAGTTCTCACCATCACTTCCAATCTCTCCTGTACTTTCAATTCAATTAAGAGTAAGAAAAATGCAAACAAAAGTTTGAAATTCATTTAAAAAAAGTTTTATCAAAACATCTCCAAATAACATACGACTATAAATAATACCCTTTAAAAGTCTGAGGTCAGTAGAAAAAAATATTATTATTTAATACTTTTATTAAGCATGGATGCATTAAACTGAATAAAATTGATCAATTTTTCCAATTGTTTTCAATGCTGAAAATAAGAAATCAGCATATCAGAATAATTTCTGAAGGATCACGTGACACTGAAGACTGGAGTAATGATGCTGAAAATTCAGCTTTGCCATCACAGGAATAAATGACATTAAAATATATATTAATATATATATTAATAATATTAAAATAGTTATTTCTTTTACATTTATACAAATATATATTTTATATTTTACCGTATATATATATTTCTTTTGGGGGGGGGGGTTGATCTATGGCGCATTCATTTTGATTCTTTACACGTGTAATGATGTCCAGTGACTTGTTTGCATTATTTATGCATTATTTTATTTATTTGTAAGACTTTTTTATGACTAAATTTGGTAATGGGAGAGTAACATTTTTTTTTAAACGTACACAGTTCAAACTAGGCTGCTTATGTTGAAGTGTTTGGGATGTGGGTTTTAATGATGAGAACTTTTTTGTAATCAGGCTCTCAAAAAGTATATAAAAATTTGGATATAGATTTATCGGCCAACATATCGGTTATCGGCTTTCAAAAATAAAGAATTATCAGTTATCGGTATCGGCCAAAATGTTCATATCGGTGCATCCCTACAATATATTCACAATTTTGTCTACATTTTAAAACACAGCAAATACACAGTGATTATACCGAATACAATCATGCAAAGTCCAAGAACAGACCACCAAAGTTGCTAACTTAACCAGCTGGGAATAGTCTGTTTCCTTGTGCCGTACACTTAGTATCACTCAAAAATGTGTCAAATTAGCCTAAGAAAGATTAAACCTTTTTTTAAATCTGATATTTCAACAAATCTTAGCTCATAATCTGCTTTAGCTAAGTAGACCTATATTTGTGGTGCAAGGCAGCCAAGTCACTACTGGTTGCACGGTTGAAGTGTCCTGACAATTGCACTGGCCAGTGTGTCGGCATGTCAGAAAGACTCTCCTTCCCTCCTTCTTTCCGGCCAACTACTGTGTGGCCCTAAGAGAAAAGCGTGTGGCTGGAAATGAAAGTCTCAAGACCGGAGAAGAACCGGCGCACACACGGTCTTGTACACTCATAAAACACTCTCACAGAACACATAGCCCAGCCCTGTTGATATCCATTTTAATGCAGGATGCCGATGGACAGTGAGCACTTTGTTTCCCAGGAATGGTTTAAAATTCCAGAAAGGTCAGGGACCAATCGCTTCCCTTATGTGCACTTTGGCAGAGCCGGCCATACTTATGTGTGCTATGGAGAACGGACGGTATGTTAACCGAAAACACAAAGACAATAAAAAATATTATCATGTAAATCAACTTTATTTAAGATTACATTTTAAATAAACTTTCATGGGCCACCGTTTAAGAAAAATATGACCATCCACCCCTGTCACATTGGAAAGATCTTTCCAAAACTTCAGATAAAAATGATCTTTTAGCCTTTTTCCAGGATATTGCTACAACATGACCAGATCTAATTTTAAAAGGATCGTTCACCTAAATGCGAAAATATTCTCATCATTTATCAACCTCATGTCATTCTAAACCTGTATGACTTTCTTTCTTCTGTAGAACACAAAAGAAAACATTCTGAAGTACATTGGAATCCAAACAACATTGGGCCCCAGTGACTTTCATTCAAGTCATACAGGTTTGGGATGACATGAAGGTGATAAAATTAATCCCTTTAAGCTTCTTACAACAAAAATAACTGATCAGAAACTACCCAACAACTAGGGCTGAAACGATTAGTCGACATTATCGACAATAAAAAATTGTCGACAAATATTTTTGTTGTCGAGTAGTCGTTTGATCTCATATGACCTAATGTAAGAGCCTGCAATAACGTGGTTTGACCAGTGTGGCGCTGTCGCGCAAGACTGTAATTCAGCTCTCCTGATGCTGATGCAATTCAAGAGAAGAAGACGCCGCACTTCAGACAGAGCAACGCAGCCGAACCCGAAGCCAAACACATCAAAAACTGACAGCGGTGAGAAAGCAGCAGTTTAAAACGCATCTGATTTCAGCAATGTGGATGTTGCACGAGCTCTGCAGTTCAGTACTCCAGTAAAGTCCAGTCACGTCACATTTATTTATATAGTACTTTATCAGTGTTTCCCCATTAATTATATTGTGGGGCGCCCCGCCCCCCTTGAAGGTCAAGTTACTTTTATTTTCTCTATATAGCGCCAGATCACAACAGAAGTCATTTAAAGTTACCTTTTCTATAGAACAGGTCTATACCTTGTTCTTTTATTAAACAAACTAAATAGTCTTATGTTATTTATCTTATTTACACGACGGCACGTCGTTTCTGTCTCTACGTTACATGGTCGCGCTCTCTGCATCGCGCACAGCGGAGTTCCGCCCCGATGCGCGCACACAGGTGAGCACACTCCCACTCCCACTAGTATTTGTAAATATTAAGCCGCAAAATGACTATTTAAATATGAATTCTGTGTGTTAATGAATGGCGCAGACTAGGGCTGCACAATATATCGAAATTATCGAAATATCACAAATGTAAATATCACAATATGCATATCACAACGGCGTGTGATATCATTATCATTTTAATAATAGGCTATAGGGCTGTGCGATATTGAAAAAAAATGTGATATGCGATACCTTGTTAAAAAATGCGATATTCGATATGCGATACGATATTGCTTAAAGTG